TCACCAGTGCAGGCTCTAAGCTTTGGGATCTACTTCCTTTACTTTAAACAGGGAGGGGCATGTGTTCAGTTGCTGTACATAGCCCGGACTCCACATATCCCTCAGAGCTGGAGGGCTTAGAGAGAATGGCTTGCTGTACCCAGATGAGTTGCTATGAAAACCTGCTAGACTTTTGGTAAATTAAAAACTAATCGGTGATATCTAGGATTAAATTTACTAATAAGTATGAAATTTAATAAGACAATATTAGGACTTTAGGGTCATAAAATAATGTTTTGAATAAATAGAGAGACTGTGGTCATCTGTTGTGTATGGTTGAAGGGGCAAATGGCATGGGAGAGACTGATTTTACTCACCAATACCATAGTAAATTGAGTTTGAACACAGTAGAAAATTAGTCTGTCCAGGGATTAGACAGTCTCAACACTGACAGAAACACCAATACAGCCCTGGTGCTTTGCCCTAATCAACAGTTATCTGGGCACCTGAGAATGTCCCTTCCCAAAGGGCTTAGGCCATGTGGCAGCCTAAATCCTAGATTTGCAGCTAAATTATATGAGCCATTTATATACCACTGCTTTGGATAACCTAAACTGCAATGGTTAGCTGGAGCTCTTGTATCACAAGTTTGTAAATAAGCCACTAACCAATAAATACAAGGCACAAGACATCTTTCAGGCCCATCTCATATCGGTATACAACTTTCTCATCTTTATTCAGTTAATCCTAGTAATCAGAAGAATGAAATATAACGAGAAAGAAGTGCACTAATCCAGAAGAACACAAGCTTCACAACTGGACTGTAAACCTAGCCCAAGGAAGACTCATTGTAGCTTATTTATGTATTGCTAGCAAGATGATTATATAGATATGATCATCATGCACAAAGGAGCAACTTCTCAAGAGGGTACCAATACTGTCTCATGCTGTGGTCTACCATGGGGATATAGTATGTTCCTGGATGGGGGACTAATATTGCAAAAATGTCAACTCTATCCAAATTAATCTGTGCATAATCCAAATCTATATACTCTCAAATCCTTTAAGTAATCCTGGCTAAACACCACAATGTCATAAACTGAGCAACCCTAGCACCTTGCCCACAATTTGTGCAAGTCCTTGAACTTGCTTCCTCATAGTTATCTCTGTCGTTTCACTGGCCAATGTTCAGACTTTGACCCCTTAGATATCTTCTATAAGAAATTTACCCATTCCCAGTTGTAATTTCTTTCCTTGTGGAAAATGTTAGCAATGATATTTGAAACTAAATAAACAATGTTTATCAGGACAATAGTGACTTGGAACCAATGACATCTCTAGGATTTCTTTACAAGAAAGGCCTAGGGCACAAAAAGATTGAAGTTGTATGTGCGTATCACCTTACATAAGATTGAAAAATCATTCATTGTTCTTATCAAAAAATGGGGGAATCCCTAATGGAGATTATGGGAAAGCTCAATCCCCAGCCCATTCTTTGGAGCCACCATTTTCAGGAGCCTTCAGAGGTTGGTAGAGAATTGATGTTTTGGTTTCTGCTCTAACTAGATGAAACAGGATAAACGTATCCATGCCACATATCTAAATGATGTGGTATACCCAGAATGCACACACATGTACATACACACGCAAATACTGTATATACTTATGTGACTCACTGGAATGTAGCTATACGCTATAAAGGAAGAATTGCTCTCTGATGACAGCCACAAGACAAATGTACCAGACAGTTGTTTTTAAACTTTATGTATCAGAATCACCTGAGGAGCTTATTAAAATACAGATGTGTGAACTCCACCCCAGACTTACTGAATCAGTCCTTAAAGGTTGGCTAAAATTAAAGGACTACCAATAACAAGCGATGAGGCTGTGGAGAAATTGGAATTCTCATACATTGCTGGTGTGAATGTAAAATTGTGCAGCCACTTTGGAAAAGTTTGGCAGTTCCTCAGAAAGTTAAACATAGAACTACCATATGATCTAGTAATTCTACTCCTAGGCATATACCTAAGAGAAATGAAAATATATGTTCACGCAAAAACTTATACACAAAGCTTCATAGCAGCACTATTCACAATAGCCAAAAGGTAGAAACAACCCAATGTCTATCAGCTGATGAATGGATAAACCTAATGTGATATATCCATACAGTGGAATATTATTCAACCATAAAAAGGAATGAAGGACTGATGCATGCAACAACATGGATGAACTTTTAAAACATGCTAAGTGAAAGAAGCCAATTACAAAAGGCCGCATATTGTATGATTCCATTTATATGTAATATCCAGAATCAGGGCCGGATTAAGGCATGTGAGGGTCCTAAACACTGATAATCTGTGGTGCCCCCTTCTTTGCTTACTCACACATTCAAACAGGATATGTGAGTTATATATATATACACACGCACACACATACGTGTGTGTGTGTGTGTGTGTGTGTTAGCTATCCATGATATAACTTCCTTTTAAATGCGACTATAGTATTACCAATTGAATGCAAAAATGGTGTATGCTGTTTTAGCAGAATGAGATGAACTGGATTGTAAAATTTTTAGTGGGTGCAGGGTACTAAGGTTTTTACTATATACCACATTTTCTACAAAAAGAATATTCCACATATTGTACAAGAAAGAAAATGGGTCAGTGAACTTAGTTGTTTCAACAATCAGTGTAAAATTTTGTTGATTTCCCACAGTGAAAAATTGACTTTCACCAATTTCACTTTAAATGGCTCATACTTCAGTTTGATGCTTGTTTTCATAATAAATGCTATAATTACAAATGTACAAATGAAAAGATGTCATAACAGTTAATGATCAGAAAACAAATTACAACAAATTGCTGTATTTTTTAGATAGATCTTTCATCTCTAACGTGTTATAATTAAAAACATTTCTTTCTATTCTTTGCTCTTAAAATTCTTCAATAATTTCATCACAAACACAGTTAAGCTGCCGAACAATACCTACTTCCATATAAAATAAGGATAATGAGTCAAGTCTTTCTTAAATCATTGTTGTACCCTGAGGGTTTTTGAGTCTCTTTAGGGACAAAATAGAGCATTCTGTTGTGCAGTTTGTGATCATTAAAGTTAGGAATATGCATAAAACAGTTTCAACATTGGGAAATATGCTTTGTATTTTACCTTCTATTATGGAATCATGCATGCCTACGTGAGTAAAATTTGTCTTTCCTGAATCTGTAAACTTAATTTTCATGTAAGAGTGAAAATGTCGCACTTCTCCATAAAGGTTTGTATTTAAGTCATCGGGATAAACCTGCACTAATTTCTTGGATGCCTCCATGCATTCTTCATCAGGCACAGTTTAAACAGCTTTACACGTGGACGCCCTCGTAACCCTGCGTAAATGTTATTTCCAACTGACACCTTCTCACACACTGGAGCTGGTGTCAGTTTCATATAGTGCCCTGCCAGTTCCCTTCCCTGCAGCGCTTGCTTTTCCTTTTCTCCTGTATGTTTGGCATCTATGGTCTTTGCTTTGGACGACTGACAGCCCTGTTTTGTTGATGCGCTAAACATGTGCTTAACCTTGCTTATTGGGTAATCCATCCCTGCCCAGAACAGACAGATTCATAGAGACAGAAGGCAGTTTACTAGTTGCTAGGGGTGGAGGAGAATGGGAAGTGACTGCTTAATAGGTATGAGATTTACTTTTGGGGTGATGAAAATGTTCTGGAACTACAAAGAGGCGATGATTATGCAACATTGTGAATATACAAAACACCACTGAATTGTACACTTTAAAATAGTAAATTTTTAGATTATGTATATTTTACCACAATAAAAAAAACCAATATAATGTTTAATGATAGTAATTATTGTGTATTTTTGTTCTTCCTATTACCTAATTTGAAGCCCAGCTCAGGCTGCTAACCAAAAGATCGGCAGTTCGAATCCACCAGCTGCTCCTTAGAAACCCTGTTGGGGCAGTTCTACTCTGTCCTATAGGGTCACTATGGGTCAGAATTGACTCGATGGCAATGGGTTTGGTATTTTGGGGGAGAGTTTACTACCCAATTTAATTTTGATTACTTTTTTTTTATGCTGCTGATTTCTTATTTGCTGAGTAAAAACTTTAAGTATCAAAAAAAAAAAAGGACCAAAGTACTGATACATACTACATGGATGAACCTTGAAAACATGCTAAGTGAAAGAAACCAGTCACAAAAAGCCATGTATTATGATTCCATTTATATGAAATGTCCGTAATAGGCAAGTCCATAAAGACAGAAGTAAATTAATGGTTGCTGGGGGTTGGGGGAATTGGTACAGGGTTTCTTTTTTGGAGTGATGAAAATAATCTGGAATTAGTGGTAATGGTTGCACAACCTTGTGAATATACTAAAAACCACTGAATTATATTAAGAGGTGAATTTTATGTGAATTATATCTCAAAAACTAAACAAAGAAAATTATTTTGGAATTGGGTCTTCGAGACCTAGAGTCAGAGACTCCTTTAAGAGGTGTGAAGGGAGTGAGATCTAGATCAGAGTAGGAGCCTGTAGCCTAGGAGAGAATCTTCGAGGACCAATGAAGGAAATTTCTTCCTAATCTTCAGAGCCGTGAGCCAAGGAGGACCTTAGAGGGCCAGAAGAGCTTCCACATAGACATCCGGTACAACCCAGAGGCAGAGGGGTTGCCTGGGCCCACGCTCTAAGAGGAGAAATTATCTGGAGACATAGTCTAGGAATTACTGGAAACGTTAAGAGTCAGCGTTCAGGCTAAATTCTAGGTTGTTTAGTATAAAATCCAGGCTTAAGAGAACTGGATAGCACTCAACTCCATATTAGCAGAATAATTCAGGCATCTTCTCCTCCAGAAACACTTCATGTCCTTCTTTCCCTGACTTCCACCCCATGCCTTAATTGCCTCTCGTCTGTGCACCTCTAACATCCAGTGCTTACTTGTATCCCTGCCCTTACATTAAATTGAAGTTTTCTTTTATGTTTGTCTCCCCCACTAGGAATAGGAGTTCCAAAATGGTCAGGGATGATGCCTTCCTCATCCGGTAACCCTAGGACCAAGCACAGGGCGTGATACATAGCAAGATAGATGGTGTCTTGATATATGGTAAATGCTTATTGAGCCAAGGAAGAATTTAAGAGACTACAGGAATGTTTCATTCAGGACAGAAAAATCTAGTGATAAATTTTTAAAGATTTTTCATAATATGGTAATACACTCACTTTTGTAACACCTATGTGTTTTGATGTGGTGATTTTGTCATGTATCATAGTTATCGGGAGTCCCTGGGTGGGCAGATAGTTAATGTTCTTGCCTGCTAACCAAAAGGTTGGAAGTTCGAGTCCACCCAGAGGCATCTAGGAAGAAAGGCCTGGCAATCTACTTCCAAAAAATTAGTCATTGAAAACCCTATGGAGCACAGTTTTACCCTGACACACATGGGTTCACCATGAGTTGGAGTCAACTCAGCAGCAACTGATTCAACTGGAAGTTATCAGGCTCACTCCTACCAAATTATAAGTCCCTTGAAGTCAGAGATTCTGTTGTGCTCATCTTTTATCCCACCACAGCATCCAGCACTGTTGTCTATGGAGTAGATGCTCAGTAATGATTTATTAATTTACATTTAATTAAGCAAGATTAAGAATGGCTGGCTTAGAGAAGCACCTCAGATCTCTTAAGACGCTTTGCTGGAATTGACTCATGAGTTAGGGCTGGGTTTCTGTGTTTGGCAATAAACCACAGGCCATTCTGTGGTCTGTGGAGACATAGTTTAGGAATTAGTAGAAGCATTAAGGGTGGAGAACTCCTCGAGAGTTTCTTGTCCTTTTGCTTCTAGAAGCTTGAATGCTTGGGAGTTTCCCTTTTTATTATATTTCTTGATTCTTTGAATAAAGAGACAAAACTTCATAGACAGCTATCCTCAATGATAAAGTGTGAGGATCTAGTGAAGTCTTCACTAGCAGCCAGTGCCCCAGGCTGATCTACAGAGAGCCATCCCTGTCATCATTTCTGTCCTCTTTTTCAGAACAAGAGAGAAGACTGCAAGCCAACAACAGAGAATACAACACTATGTTTGGATATCCAGTGAGTATCAGGCCTCTGGCTATTTCATAAGGGGGCTGGTATTCCCCTTGATTGGTAGAGCAGGCAATCTATTGTGGATATGGATCCTACAACATAGGTTCTACTTTCTCTCAGTCTCCTATACATTGAGGGCTGGTGCAGTGAGGGCTCAGAAGCCAAAATTAATCCAGTGACCTAAACTCAGGGGAGAATATGTCTCAGATGTTGAGTTTTATGGATAACACCTAAAAAATAAATAATTCTAAAGAAATAGTGCAAAGAGATCAGAAGTACGGCTTTATACAAAACACATGCAACAACTTCAAATAAATAGTGTCTAGGAAATTATCTTACTCAGCCACAGAAGAAAAGCTTAAAATTATAGTCATAGAATTAAAAATACATCCTTCATTAAAAATACATCCCCTACCCACAGGCCATACTCTTTGAAACTGGAAGATTTGGTTTTTACATTTTAGTATTTTTTAAAAATAATAATAACTTTTGTTAATATTGTGTGTCAGGTACTGTGCCAAAACTGTATAATCATTACCTCATTTAATGCTTACAACCTTAATATTATTGCCTCGCCGAAGAGCTCAGAGCTCCAATTCTGTTCCGCAGAAGTAACCACATTTAACAATTTGGTGCGCATCTTTCCAGACATATTTGCATATCCGTTGTCTTAGTTATCTAGTACTGCTGTAACAGAAATACCACAAGTGGATGGCTTCAACAAATAGAAGTTTATTCTCTCACAGTTTAGGAGTCTAGAAGTCTGAGTTCAGGGCACCAGCTCCAGGGGAAGGCTTTCTCTGTTGGCTCTGGGGGAAGGTCCTTATCATCAGTCTTCCCCCGGGTCTAGGATTTTCTCAGCAAAGGGACCCCAGGTCCAAAGGATGTGCTCCACTCCCGGCTCTTCTTTCTTGGTGGTAGGAGGTCCCTCTCCTCTCTGCTTGCTTCTCTCTGTTATATCTCAAAAGAGATTGACTCAAAATACAGTCTAATCCTGTAGATTGTGTCCTGCCTCATTAACATAACTACCTCTAATCTTGCCTTCATTAAGATCATAAAGGTTAGGATTTACAACACATAGTAGGATAATTACATCAGATCACAAAATGGAGGACAACCACATAATACTGGGAATCATGACCTAGTCAAGTTGACACACATTTTTGGGGGACACAATTCAATCCATGACATCCATCTATAGCCACACCTTATCTATATATGTAACTAAATTATATCTCCTCTACATGTAATATAATGTATATATGTGCTTTTTCTTGAGCAAATGAAAGCATTGTTCCACAGTTTTCTTTTTTCACTTAGGCAGTACATATAGATCTACCTCAATTATTTAATAGCAGCATAGTTTTCCATTGTATCGCTATACCTTAATTTATTTAGCCGTCTCCTATTGATGAATTTATAAAATGTTTCCAGTGTTTTTCTATGATAAGTGGTCTTGAATGAACACCATTATACTTACATTCAGCACATTCATATGAATATATCTTTTGAGAGTTTCCTAGAAGTGAATTGGTTGGATCAAAAAGAAAACACATTTAAAATTTTTATATAGACTTCCCTCTAAAAAGATTATACACATTTATATTTCTACCTACAGTAGAGACTTTCCATTTCTCCACATTCCTGCCAAACTGGTTATTATCAATCTTTTTAATCTTTGCCAGGCCTCTTTGATGAAAAATGACATTTTATGTACTTTTCGTTGATTTTGAGTAAGATTGATAATCTTTTGTGTTAACTTCTTGATTTCTTTTTCTGGAAATGACCTATTAATGATCTTTGTCCATTTTCTATTGGATTGTTCATTTTTTGCCTGTTTATCTATTTATGAATTAGTAGCTCATAAAAAGGCATATACTGAAAAATTATGCTGTAACACTTCATGCTGTCCCACATCTGCTCCCTATACCTGTTGCTGTTGAGTCTATTATGACTCATAGTGACCTTGTAGGACAGAATAGAACTGCCCCATAGGGTTTCCAAGACTGTCATCTTTATGGAAGCAGACTGTCACATCTTTCTCCTGTAGCCACTGGGTGGGTTTGAACTGCCAGCTTTTCGGTTAGCAGCCAAGTGCTTAAGCACTGTGCCACTTTTATTAGTTCGTTGCGTATTGATCAGTGTTTCTTTGTGCAAATAAAGCAAATACAAATATATATTCTTATTTTCTCATTTTGTTGCACTTTAACAATATATCCTGGAGATGTTTTCATAATCAGTACATAGCTTTTTTCTTCTTTTTTCAGCTGCATAGTGTTTCCTGTGCAGATGTAGCACAATTTAGTCAGTCCCTTATAAATGAACATTGGGTTGTTTCCATTCTTTTATAATGATAAACAGCGCTTCTATACATATGTTATTTTATGCATATACAGCTGTGTATCTCTATGTATAGCTATTAGGATATACTGTAAAACCTGCGAAAGCTGGAAACTGTGTAAGGTGGAAACCTGTCGGAGAAGGAAAACTCAAATATTTTCCACTAAAAGCAGAGATAGAAAAGCGGTAAGACTGTACCCTGTCACAGGTGGAAAACTTGTGAGACCAGGAAAAACAAGGCAGTCCTTTCGAGTTCTGGCTGTCACAGTTTTCACTGTGTGTGTGTGTGTGTGTGTGTGTGTGTGTGTTTAAATATATACACATGTGTATATATATATACAGAGAGAGAGAGTTTCTGTGATATATTAGAGTTTAAAATTTATGAGACAGAAAGATTATGTATAGTAACAGTGTTCAGAGTGTGGCCATGGGAGCAGGCTTTCCCCCTTCTCTGTCTTCTAGACCTGCATGTTGTGGTGCAATAAAACTAGGTTTGGCATCAGACAGACCTGAGTTTGAATTATAGCTCTGACCGTAACTAACCTTGCAACCTTAGGCCAGTTATTTAACTTTGCTGATCTTTAGTTCCCTCATCAGTAAAATGGGTATAATATTGTTCATCTTACGTGGTGGTTGTAGAAACTAGCTAAAAATTAGTTCTCTTTCTCAAAGACACTATTATCCCCTTGAAAAAAGGGTACATGTCTTATTAATCTCTGCAGTTCTTATCACAGTGTTTGGTACATATCTGGCATTCAAAAATATATGCTGAATAGTTAACGAATAAATAAAAAGATTTGCCTCAATCTTACGTATTTAACAAATATTTCATTTCCCTGGCCCTGCCCATTTCTATTTTCCTCTTATTTCTCTGATTTCTTCAACTCTGATTCCTTTTCCTCTTCCCAGCTTCTAACTAGATTCCTAATATATCCTTGGCCTTCTCTTCTTCTCTGTTCCCCCATTTAGCCTTCAGTCAGGTATCACTGCCCAAATAAATAAATAGCCCAAACCAAAATCCTCCACCATTGTCATGCTTTAATTTCATCACTACTGCTAAAGAACTGAACACCAAGGAAGTTCATAGTTCAGCAGATGTTGTACGTGCTTGAGATATTGCTTCTGGTTTGACGTTTAAGAGTAGAACAAAACACTCTAGTTGACAAGCTGGTAGAAGAGTACTGGTATGTATATCTTGGGCTAGAATCAACATGACTTTGGTCTTTATTTCCTGAACAAATGCTACACAAGTGATAAGAAACCCAAAATACATTAATTAGCCAAAAAATCAAATGGAAAATCAACAGTGAGGGCCAACTGCTTCAGTAAGGTCACCTCTGAAAAGATCTTTGGGTCTAAGTATCAGAGCCCATCTGGGCTTAGACTCCGAGAAATTTCGAGTATCTTATAATTAAGGAAGATTACTTCTATGTTAGGCTAACATACCCTCAGGGCTAGAGAGATCATATTTAGTTAGAATTTCATTCAGGAAATATCTACGTGCTCCTCATATAGATCTTGTCTAATTCCTGTTTAGCCTCTCTTAGTATAACCTAGCGAAGGGCTGTGAACAGAGCAAGCCTTTAGAAACATATGATTGGTTATTAATTGGATAGTCATGGAGAAATACCAGGGATATCTTAGGTTTAGCTAGGATCTCTGAACTATATATATAAATGCTATAGCTATAGCTATAACCACTGGTTGTGCAGTGGTTAAAGCAATCAACTGCTAACCAAAAGGTCAGCGGTTCAAAACCACCAGTGGCTCCTCAGGAGAAAGACATGGCAGTCTGCTTCCATAGAGATTTACAGCCTTGGAAACCCTATGGGGTCACTATGAGTTGACAGTGAGTAGTGGAATAGCTGTTTGACCAGTGTCTCTTCCCTAAAAGAGACCTTGGGCAAGGTTTTGCTGGGTAACCTATCTAACTTCCTGGACAGGGACCCAAGATTCAAATTTTAGCCTTAAGACTGAATGGTTTTGGTTCTTCAGGAGAAGGACTTTGATGCTGTCACAGGGCAGAGTCCAGCAAGATTCTTCATGCTTAAGTAGTATCCTACTCCAGGGTCTGTAGGTGGGCTTATTCTTTTGGAATGGATGTGGTAGGAGAAAAGATCTGTCCTTAGGTAATTATTTGGTCTCATTATTCTGCTTTTCTAGAGCTCTTATACTCAAGCTCTGATAGGACAACTAAATCTTAGAATAAGTAATTGAAGACCTAAATGTAGAAAGTAAGATGGTCCAGTCAACACCTTGAGATCAAGATTAAAGAGGTAGACAAGTTCCCATTTTCACTCAGCAAAATAACAGCTTAGATGTGGCCCAAAACTATTCAGACCCTCTCAGGACAGTTAGGGGCCAAGTGATTCTCCAGTGCTGACAGTGACCAGTGTAGGAACCTTAGGTGAACTAAGGTTGAATGACAATTCTTTGCTTTTAGGATCTGATATCCTTACACATTGAGAGCAGCATGAAGGCTCACCAAACTGAGTTTGCCAGGTTAAGAAAAGCTGAATTAGAAAGATCTAGAGTTGAACTAAGGAGCCCTGGTGGTGCAATGGTTAAGTGCTTGGCTGCTAATCATACGGTTGGTGGTTCAAACCTGCCAGCATCTCCACAGGAGAAAAGACCTGGCTATCTGCTCCTGTAAAGATTACAGACTAGGAAACCCCACGGGTCAGTTCTACCCTGTCCTATAGTGTAGCTATGAGTTGCAATCAACTTGATGGGCACACAACAGCAACAGAGTTGAGCAAAATATCTACTATTTAGGGCTGAGAAGGACCTTAAGGGCCAGAAGGGAAGATGAAACTGAAGGATGTTTAATTCTAAGAATTGCAATCAACTTGATGGGCACACAACAACAGCGACAGAGTTGAGCAAAATATCTACTATTTAGGGCTAAGAAGGACCTTAGTGGCCAGAGGGGAAGATGAAACTAAAGGATGTTTACTTCTAAGAAAGGAAAGCATTTGGATGGCTGTACAACTGAACTGGGGTTTAGGGCACTGTACAGTCCGAACTCTGCAACTAACTGAGTGGTCTTGGACAAATAACTTAACCTCAGTGCCTGAATTTCCTCATCCTCCAAAGTGATAATATAGTACTCACTGCTAGGGTTGTTATAAGAATTAAGTGAGTTGTGACATATAAAATGCTTAGAACAGAGCTTTGCACATAGTAAGTACTCAATAAGTATAAATTTTTATTATTGATTATTTTATTATCATTATTATCAATAGCATCAATAAACAAAGAACTCTATCCAGGACAGAGATACCTTCTGCCTCCAAGGAAACTCCCATATTGAGCAGTCTTGCTATCTTTGCATCCTCTAGGCTCCTCTAGGCCTCAGGGAAAAAGGGAAAATCAGACACTTCTTTCCTCTCTCCCCATGGTGTTGGAGGGGAACTTAGGTGGCTTTTTCCCTTTTCGCTGAGTGGTCTTGGTCCTGTTTGTTAAGACTAGAGGATGGGGGTGGGGAGTAGGGGCAGGTATGAATCAAACCAATTTTGAGCTGTCTTTTGTTCCTCTTATTGTGCTTGTTTTCTTTTTCTCCCAGAACAATACCATCAAGACCTCAAAATATAGTTTCCTTAACTTCCTGCCCCTGAACTTATTTGAACAGTTCCAGAGACTTGCAAATGCATATTTCCTCATTTTGCTGTGTCTACAGGTATTGCCTTTTGGGATCTTTCTCACAGAACATTTTATCAACCTTCTGGGATCAGGTTGTATAATCAATCCTTCCTCCTCCCTAAGCTGAGAGATGTCTTTCCTCTTTAGACAATAGGCAAATGGATGGTTGGAGTCTCAGGCCAGTCCCCTAGGGTAGCTGTGGTCAGTATTGGCCAGTGTGAAACAAGCCTCTACAAGAGGAAGGAGATAAGGCCACGGAACTCCAAGGAAGGGGAGCTTCCTCATCATGGCTGCCTGGCCACAATTCAGCTTGACCATAAGAGGCCACAGACTCTTCACCCTAACCACTACTGTAATCCTGTCTGATATTGTCAGCACCTACTGACTCCTCCATCTTGTCCTAGCCTCCCTGACAGAAAGTTAACATGCAGAAGTGCTGAGGAAGGAGAATGATTTAGAACAAAGGAGTGCCAGCACAAGGCAAGGAAGGAGAGCAGGGTAGGCCCAAGTTGGGAGAGAGGGACAGATGGTCTCACTTTCCCTTGTGCTGAAGGGGATTAGGAGTATATGTGGTTTTCCCATGTCTGCTGTTACCCTTCTACCTCCAGCACCTTTCAGTGTCAGGAAAGATCTGTCCCTTTGCCATCAAGCAAAACTAGTGGAGTTCAGGACAGATAGGGGGCAGTTTACAGTCTCCTCTCTTTCTTCCTCCCTTGGGAAAATGTTTATATTTTAGGGGTCGTATGAAAGCTACAACAGTGGAAAGTAACTAGGATAATTGAGTTTATTATGAGGCTTTGGAGGTGAAAATAGTGGTGGGGGGGGGAGCAGGGGGAATATCTTATCCTTTAAGCTTTCTGACCTAAGATCTTTTCCTTTCCGTCTCACAGTTGATTCCCCAGATCTCTTCCTTGGCATGGTACTCAACTGTGCTACCCCTGATCGTGGTGCTGTCCATCACAGGAGTGAAAGATGCCATCGATGACCTGGTAAAGTGGCTTCCTGGACCTCTAATTCCTCACTGTACCTAGTCAGGCTGTGGGGCAAGAAAGACTTCCCAGAACTACCTAGTGCTAAGAAGAAGTGCTGAATGGAAAAAGATTTTTCCCTTTCTTGTTTCCTTATCCATCCCAGAGGAATATGTAATTCCCTTAGGCTCAAGAATGGCAGTCTATGCATGGCTAGAAAGGACAATACAAAGCCTTTCTCTGTCTTCCTACCACAACCACTTTTAGCCCCTCTTCCAGGCTTCCTTCCGTCTCCTCTTTAATAACCTATCTGTTCCTTTACTCCCCTCTTAGCCTTCTCCAGCTTTGTTCTCATCCTTCTCCCCATGTTTTCCCATTTTTATCTCCATTTTCTCTTTCTCCCTCCTTCTCCTATTCTTCCTCTTTCTTCTCTCTCCATATTCCCCTTCTCCTCCCCAACTCTCCCTATTTCCCTTTCCAACATTCAATTCTATTAGGTGTGTACATCTAGGAACCCTGTGGTTTTAGAAAGCCTCATGGCATACACAGAGGCCAGCTCCTTTCCTGGCCTTAGAAGGAGAAACTGGCTCACAGTGAGTGCTACATGGCTTCCTCTTTGCTCCTTAGAACAGGCCTGACATAAAAGGGTGAGGCTGAGGACCCAGTACCACACCCACGAGTGGGATTTGGGAAGCCAGTCCTGTTGATCTGCTTAGCTTCCCTAAGAGAGTTTTTCTGACTTTGCCAGGATAAATTTTTAGACCAAAGTTTAAAAGCAAGATGTTTCACCACCTCTTTAACTCTGTAACTCTTTAAAACGAGAATTAGCACATGTGGTAGTTTAAATTTAAGACACAATTCAGATGTGTAAAAATTAGTAACTTTCTCTGTAACTGAACTCAGTTTAACTCATAAACAGCCCCCAACCCCTTTCCAATGAGGGCTAGAAACTTAACTTGCCAATTCTGGGTAACCCAGTTACTTCTAGCTTAGAACTCAGTCTCTTTGGGATAAATATTCTGAAATATTCAGGATTGTTCCCGCCCCATTGCTCAGTCCTGTCCTTTTCCCAGGGAGTACTCTCAACTGTAAGAAGGGGATTAATGTGAGTCCTGGCATCAGGACATACGCTGTATTTGTCTCCCTTCTATCTGGTCTTTGTATATTGACTTCTTTCCTTACTGCATCCACTGCAGAAGGTTTTGTGTGTTGACCACAGTTAGGGTAGAGTAGGAGAGTGTGCTTGAGAATACTTAGCTTCCCTGCATCTACCAAGTTATACAGAACTTTGTGGTCCTGTCCATCGACATGTTTTCTCTCCTCTATGGCTTTTGGCCTAAATTGTTTGTTCTCTTTCCCCCGGCTTTAGATTTGGATGTTCAAGCCAGGATTTTGTCTCTTTCTTTTCTCTGGGTTCTTTTTCTGACTTCCCTTTCTATCTCCCCAGAGGCAATCAACTTTTAATGGTAGAAGGGCTTCAGGGAGAACAAAGAAGAATTACAAAAAAGAGAAAGTTCATTGGGTAATATTTCAAATATTATCCTTCAGATACAGATTGCTACATGTCAATTTCCTGAACACTTTCTTTTGTAATTTTAGAAAAGACACCAAAATGACAATCAAGTAAACAACCGTCCTGTTCTACTGTTGGTGAATGGCAAGTAAGTCTTCCTAGGGAAGCCAATTTAGATAGAACCATCTCTGGGAGAGGGCTGGCCTTGCTAAAGCCTGGAGTTCTGGGTGCTTTGGAATGGTACTTCTGAAACCCAGTCAAACCCATTGCCATTGAGTCGATTCTAACTCATAACAACCCTATAGAATGGAGTAGAACTGCCCATAGGGGTTCTAAGACTATAAATCTTTACAGAAGCAGAATGCCACATCTTTCTTCTGTGGAGCAGCTAGCGTATTTGAACCGCTAACCTTTTGGTTAGGAGCCAAGTGTTTAACCACTGCACCACCAGGATTCCCTGAACAGTACTTCAGGGCAGTATAAAGAACCTCATATTGGACATCATAAGAACTTGTTTCTAGATCTGGCATTCCCTAAACTTCCCATGTGACCTCATACCTCTCTGGGCTTCAATTTTCTTATTTATAAAGTGAAGATAATATTTCCTACCCTAGAGGATGCTTGTGAAAATAAAAATGAAATAATATATGTTAAGGCAATTAATAAATTATAAAATGTTGTTAATATGTTAGGGATTGTTGTTAGTGTAGGGGTCACATGGAGACACCTGTCTTTAGTAGTATATTAATAGATTCTGATGTGGCCTATTGGGCATTCTACTTTAGCCTTTGGTCAGGTCATCTTTTGTGTTAACAGTTTAAAGTAAGTATTGGTGTTGACCCAATTGCTGTGGTGTTTGGTCATAGCTATTTAAAATGTTGGGCCAAGGTTTATATTTGGTGGGATCCCACAAAATTTGAACAACTTACCTTTGGCAGAAATGGAGGGAGGTAGGCATAATTACAGCTTTACTATAAGGCAAAATATAAAAAAATACCATAAGATATATAAATAATAGGAATTAATATTAATATAAATATAGGAATTAATAAAAATGAGTGGCGATAGTTTGCTAAAGGAATCATGGAACACTTCCTGAAAGAGATAATATTTGTGCTAGGTCTTAAAGAATGGGGAAGAATTAAACAAGCAGCGATTGTATGAAAGGAAAAGTGACCAGTGTGAACAGAAACAGGTGGCAAGGAAATGTAAACCTGAAGGAATTCAAGATTGAAGTCTGGCCTTTTCCATGGTGGCCTTACAGACCACCAGTAGTTATAGTTTTTATCATATAATTCTATTATCTCATGTTCTTGGGCATCTAATCCTGTTGCTTATTGTGTCTCCTGGTTCTTACTCCTGATGGATTGTTTCCTCAAGTGTTTTGGAAGCCCCATATAAGATATCACCAAAATAATCAGTTGTAATTAAAAGAAAAAGAAGATAGAAAGGAAAAGACAAAACTGAGTGTATTAGAAACTTGCCAGGCTAGGGAGTCACTGACCAAGTGAATTTATCAAATGAACTCCCCAAGTAGCTTGAGCACTTGGGTTTTATAAGATTATTGGAGAAGGATTTGTTATAGAGTGGTTTTAGGGTGGGAGTTAACAAGCAGGGCCCTTGTAGGGACTGCTTAGACTTAGTAAGCCAGTGAGTGTCTAGTTTCATACGTGCAGTGAGGCTGGCTGTTGAAACCGTCTGTAGCTTTCTTTTTCTAGAATACACGGGTCTGAGCAGAGCTGCTGTTGAAGAAGTTTGTGTTTTGCAAGTTGTGATTTCTTTAGTGTTTATTTTCTCAATAATTTTGTTTACAAGCTCATCTTTAGAGGATGAGCTTTCTTTGTGGGAGTTTTTCTTTGTGGGAATTCTGAGTAGCCTAAGTTGAGACTGCGTTCTTCTAGAGGGGTTTTGTATTTGCTTCTGCCAGGTGCCTCAAGGGTATCACTGACTGAGACCTAATTTGGAAGACATATAATTTGAACCAGATACTACATGAGGTTGCAAATTCTCGGAGAAGTTTCCCCTTCCTTACTCCCCAACTCCCCAGTCTAAGATAGAAGTACTTTCTTTCAGTGTGTTGATTTCTTTTTCTTCTAGACCTCCCTTTCACTAATGATGTTGCCCATCAAGGATCTTGGCTTTATGAGGGATTCTTAGTTCCAACTCCCTGTCTCATAAGGTGTCATCACTTGTTCCTCTGGTGGGCATTAAAACCCAAGTTACTAGATTATTAAGACTCACAGTGCCTTTGCTGACCCAGGACAAAAACATCTTTAAAATATGCTTAGTGTTCTGGATTTCAGTCCCCTCTTTTTTCCTGGCTCCTTGCTTTGTGGCAAGCTAAGTCTTGCTTTTTAAAGAATGTTGGCTCTATTTTATCTAGTGTTTCTAAGTATTTGCAGTGGGAAATTTTGTAGGTTATCTAGTCCAGTAGAGTGTGTTGTATAATGCCAGGAGGTACCATTCACATACAACAGAGAATCTAATGTGAATAGTGTCCCATGGAGTCAAAGCATTGTCTTTTCCAGCTCTTGAACTATATTTTCTAAACCAAAAGTTAGGATGCGATGCCTAGAAATTAAAAATGTACTGTGGAACAACAGAAAGGAATGTCTCCCCCTCTCCCAAATCAGGGACACATGGCTGTTATAATGTTCAGGAACAAATTGATAATAGCTTGTCCTCTTCTTATGTAACAAAATATAAGCTTTTAAATCTCAGGAGAAACCAGAATGTAATGGTCTTTCTCTTCATGTTTTACTGGTGAAAATCATGGCAGATAGAATACCAGAGAACTAGCAAAAATGAACAAGACAAAATAAAACAGATCTCAGATTGTCTTCCTCCAAGGTTTGTAGCTACCTTCATTATGACCAGAAAATTCTCTGAAGGAAAATGTGAATTTATAGAAAAGGACTTTTTTTTCTTTTTAATAAAAGAAATTTGACCGGTCTCAAAGCAACTGTCTTTTCAGAAAAGGAGCTCTGGAAATACCCATACCTTTGTGTACATCAAAGAGGTGATGTATGTCATGCTCTACAGATAGCAGGCTGCATTCAAAAGCAAAGTGGCTAATGGCCTCTAGCCATGCCCTGTCTTTCCCAGCTCTTTGCATGTTGCAAAGGGATGGCTCTTATTTCCAAAATATCCTTGTGGCAATGTGTACATTTTATGGGAAAGGGGGACTTCAGGGGTCAAAGGTATTCCCATTTTAACATAAATAAATAAAACTGGTACAGCCACATGATAAAATATATTTTACTATCAAAAAGAATGAGCAACATATTCTATATGTACTCTAAAAAATACATTATTAAATGAAAAATGTAAAGTGCATGAAATTGTGTATCTACTGTATACCTTTTAAACATATATGTTGTATGTGAGTATATGGATTGATATTTTCTAGGAAGAAATACAAAAAATTACTGACAGTGGTCACCTTTGGGGAGCAAAACTAAAGGTTGACTAGAGGGGGGACTTTCATTTTTCCCTTTTCACAGTTCTGTACTATTTGAACTATTTTTTACCACATGTATATATTACTTTTAATTTAAAAATAATTATGTATGTGTATATCTACATATACTTTTTATAGGGTTTTAGAAAATTCTTATCAAGAACCATCTTCCCATAAATACAGACTGCTCACTTGGACTTCCTGAAAGTAGGGGACCATTTCCCTCAAGTGTAACAGCCTGAAGTCAAGAGACTTGGGCCCCACTCTTGATTGTAACAAGGATGCATTACAAACCAGTTTGGTTCTCCTCTGAGCTTTGTCTTCATCTGTTTTTTGGTTTGTTTGTTTTGCTTTCTTGATTATCAAAACAGAGCATTGGGGAAGCTCTCAGAACAGACATTCAAGGGCCATTTTCTTATAGGGTGGAGAAGGACAAATGGATGAACGTCCAAGTGGGAGATATAATAAAACTAGAAAATAATCACCCTGTCACGGTGAGTGTCTCTTTTGGTTGAGGCCATTTCTTTTTTGGTGTGAGTGGTAGTTCTGCTACCACTGCTTCGGGCGACCTTCATCTGCCTCACTTTGCATCCAGAGGTCAACAGCTCCTGTGGTGAGAAGCTTGTCTTTGTCCGTCTCTCACCATTGCTACAGGTAAAATGTAAGTAGTTTTGGGAGGGAGAATGTGGTGGCAGTGATAGGTCCAAGACAAAGAAAATAAACCAAATGTCCACAAAATTCTTAGAATGAACATTAGGTCCTGAGATGATTGCTTCTGTCATCCTGTAATGTTAAAATCCTGCCTTCCTGCTGTCTTTGTCTCTTCTGACTTTTCTGACCACAGGCAGATGTACTATTACTCTCTAGCAGTGAGCCATACAGTCTGACATACATAGAAACTGCAGAACTGGATGGGTAAGTGTTCTCTCCTGTCATTCCATTAAGACAATTTAGTCAGTTCATCACTGAAGCAGAACATGATGCAAGGAATGAATGCTGTTCTCAGATGGAAGCTGTAGTGTAAGAGTCAGTGAGGCTGGAAATAATCCAGATGAGAGAAGACAGGAAGCCAAACTCTTGGGACCCTCAATTCTAAGACTGAGCTCCTGAGAGCAAAACAGCCTACGCTGGGTGCATAATCTGGGCAAATCAACCCCATATTATACAGCTCTAAAATGGAGACATTCTTTTGACTGTATTCAAACAATACAATTGTATTCAACAATGCTGAGTGGTAGGAAGGAGGTTACCAGAGCTGTAAAATTTCAAAATAGAGTTCCGAAGTTCCTAGGGGAAAAAATTAAATATGGAGGTAACTATTTACTCATAAAACACCATGTTCTATAAAGGATTTAAGGTAGAAATTTATTAATGTGTAAGGCTAAGGTCTTAGCAGGAATAGGGGCCATCTTCAGAAAGCTTGTCCTGTGCTGTTTCATATCTGTCTACATCTTACAACTGTTAGTCTTGGTGCCCACAAGTTTTTTGAAATGTGGCTTCCATTTTTGTTCCCGTCTCTTTGCATTCCTGTATCAGAAAATTATTCATTGGAGTCCTTTCTTTGTCTGACGGATATTTATGGATATACTGAGGTGTGTGTAGGTTCTTTACTTATTCTTGAAGAGAGCAGGTGCCACCTCCAGGTTGTTTTGTGATGTGTCTTCAGCTTCTCTAGAGCATCTGTTCAGAAATATCTCATGGGTTAATGAAAGTAGTGGTGGTGTGTTGCAGCGAGCCGGTGGCAGGGAGAAAGGAGTGAGTGGGCTAACACTCTGCTTCCTTGCATAGCCATCCTACTTCAGTGTCATCCATGAGAGAGGGAAATAATGGGAGTGACTCTTAGACTCAAACTTATAGCCCAAGCTCTGCTGGAAATACCTATTTTCTAAAACCCCATAAAGGAGTAGGAGTTACTGGCCCTGTGCTGCTGTTGTATATATGTCCCGCAGTCTAGTGACTGTGTGTCCTCTACTCTAGTGAAACTAACCTGAAAGTGAAGCAGGCCATCTCAGTTACCAGCAACATGGAAGATAACCTGGAGCTACTGTCTGCCTTTGATGGTGAGTTAGGAAATAGGTTTGCCCACCCAAATTTTCATCAGTAAAGGCCTGGTTAAATAAAGTATGGCACATCTATACAGTGAACTCTATACAACTTATTAAAAGCAAAGATACAAGTTGATATTTATGCACGTGGAAAAAATATCCATAAGTGAAAAATACACATTACAAAAGGCTATGCATATTATATATAACATAAACCTGTTTTTGGAAATATGTATGTATGTATGTTTATGTATGTATGTATAGAAAAAAACTTAGAAGGACGTACTCCAAAAGATTAATATCACTTATCTCTAGACAATGGTGTCTCTTTATACGTTTAATATTGAATAAATTTTTACAAAGGATGTATTTGACTTTACTAATTAGGAAAAAGTCCAGTTATTTCCATTTGAAAAATGAAAAACACTAGGCTTTCTTTGTTAAGTAGTCTTTTTAGTTTTTTCAGATTCAGAATGCATATGATCTTCCAGTTCTTATTGTGATCATTTGTCATGTAGGTTTTTTCTCTCTTGGATGATCCATGTCACATGCAGAATTCTCTTTTTTGATGCCCAGAATCCTTTGCTTGTCTTTCTGCAGGGAGCTGAGAGAAATGAGCAGCAGATGAGAGGATAGGAAAAAGATGTGTGTGTATTTTGAAAGAGGAATTTTCTTTCCTCTTTTCTGTTAAGCCTCCTCTACCCTGTTAGGAAAGGCCTAAGATTACAGAGCCAGGACTCTTACCCCTTAATTTTTCTGCAGGAAAAGTAAAGTGTGAGCCTCCCAATAACAAGTTGGACAAATTCACAGGAATACTGACATATAAGGGGAATAAGTACCTCCTGGACCACGACAAGCTGCTGCTCCGAGGCTGTACTATCAGGAATACAGATTGGTGCTATGGCTTGGTGATTTATACTGGTATGTTTCTCTGGAGCCAAAGCCAGACCCCCAGCCTGCTGGATCCCATTCATGGCCAGGTTGTACATACTAAAGATTTCAGGATGTGGATATGGTACTTAGATATATATCAGAATACCATGGCTTTGAGATTAGATAGATAGACGGATGGACGGATGTAGGAGATTTTAAAGCTTATTTCTTTTAGAAAAAAGAATGACTTTTTCCCAAACAAAGAAACAAGCTGCCAGCATATCAGTTCTGTCTTTGTGTTTCAAGACCATAGGACACTCATGAATCTTTCCAACCATGTGTGGACACAGGGGAAGGTATACAAATAGAGTAAGTACACATGGAATGAGCATGTGAAAGGGGAACATGTAACATGGGAGAGTATACATGAGAGTACCTGCTTGTAGATTATTCCCATGAGGAAAGAATAGACACAGTGTTCATTATGGAGAAGAATATAAAATATAATGTCAAAAGTTCATGCCAAGGAAAAGGCACATATGGGTCATTAGCAGTGGCCCCTCTTGAGAAATCATTTAGGCCACAATCAGTTATATTTAGTGAAAGATTTTCTTGGATTAAGTTGTGGTTCAGGAAAATAGAGGAAGTATCTAGTTATCCTGTGCTATCAGTGACAATCAATACTGCTGACACCAACCAACCATAGTGGGAAGATGAGGACACTGGAGTTAGCATTGAGGAAGTTTTACCACAGTGAATACTAGTTAACTCAGGTTCCCAGAGCTCCCTCCCACTCCATAGAGGTCGGGGTCCCATATTCCTCACATATATGGAAAATAATATGACCCAAGCCCTAGGGAGAAGCTTAAGTGTCCATAAAAACCTTGGTGGAACTTTTTTCATTGGTTCTTGGCTTATAGTGGCACCTTCCAGACTGCCTAGTGCCCAAACTCAAATGATTTGAATAGACTTATTTCCTTCATTGCATTTCAGCAACAACCATCCCCATATGTTGTCACACAGAAAAAGCTCATTTTTCAGCCAAAAGCTTTTTCCCCTAAAGCAATAGTAGTGAGATTGCCAATCAGCACAAATTTAGTTAAGGTTTCCTCCGATTCTTGGTGGGCTATATGGTGGTGAGAAACCTTTTGGGATGTTGGGAAGCTCAGAGCAGAGGAGAACTGATAACACCTAAAACCATCCTGAGGTATTCAGTACAGAACTGAGTTGCTGTTTCTGCTAACATGATGCCCAAGTTCTACCATGATCTCCACTTCCTTTTGAAACCTGGGGTAGGGTCAGTCTGAGAATCCTTAGAAGATATGGTCTCTTGTAGTTTCCAGACTCTGAGCCAAACTTCTAATGACTTCACACCCTTCACGGAATGCTTAAGAGGAAAGAATGGCATAGCTTATGTCATGCATTCTCAGTGTCTGCCCACATATCAGAGAAGTTACAGCTCCTCCATGTGTAAACATTGATGAAATTCCTTCATTACAGCACATGTAAGAATAACATTCAGATGGTAAAAGGCCAGAGAAATGCTACTTATAGTTTCTTCTAAGCCTTTTATGTTTTCTCTACAGCCATATCTCTGGTCAGTAATGTCTAGTCCATTGTGACCAATAAAAGCTCTTTGCCTCTACTTAATGACTTCCCTGTCATGAAGAAACATGAAAGTCTCTTGTCTCTCAATCCCAGAGAAGTCTCTGCTCCCCAGCCTCCACCTCAGAAGAAATCACTGCCATCGCCTTTTCCTTTCTCCTTTTCCCAGTTAGAAACTTTAAATATAGCCTGGTCCAGCGGTTGGGTTCCTTGAAAGAAGATAGGGATCTCTTTATCAGAAAATCCCTTCTTTAAATAAACCAGATGGTAGATGGCAGAGAAGCTTGTGGCTCCTGTTCTGACTTAACTCATCTGTGAAAGATTAGACTAATGTGCTGCAGAAAGGAGTCAGCATTGGTGCACTGTAAAGAAGCAGTTGGAACTCTCCTTAGAAAAAAGTTTTCCATTCTTTGGGTTATTGGCATCAACTGTGAACCTTTTTCTAGGGTTTTAACCCCTGGTATTGGATAAGAGGTTAGACTAGGTGATCATGAAGGTATATTTCAATCCAATTTCAAGCCTGTAAGTGTTTTCAGTGATTCTAAGAGCTGATGTCTCCCTGTTTAACTTAGGACCAGACACCAAATTAATGCAGAACAGTGGGAAGTCCACCTTTAAACGGACACACATAGACCATCTCATGAATGTCCTTGTAATCTGGGTAAGTTAAAGATTTTTTTTCTCAGTTTATTTATAAATAGACATACTTCCCTTCCTTCCCCAGGAGTAACTGGTATTTCCAACTCAGAATTTAGTTGTTTGAAAGTCTCAAGCAGTTTCAGGACCCCACAGACTAATGTCTGAAGCAGAAAACAAGGAAGCCAGTTTACAAGCGAGTCTCTAATTTACATGTCTGTTATGGAGGATAGTCACAATTTGTTTAAGATTTTTATGCTTTGATTAGTGGTACCAGACTGGATCGAGGATCCAGCTCTGAAAATTAAAACATATTTTTATTTACTCATAGCCAGTTTTACTCATGACCACATTAATAAAACCTTACTTAGACTAATTAGGACACCTTACATAAACTAATGATTTTCAAATTGTATTTCCTCAGAGGAGTCTTAAGATCTTTTGTAAGGAGAATAGAGGCGATCAAGTGAGTTTTGTTCTGGCCTTCCTATTCTATAGTTCCTTCTTGGAAAGAACACTATCTCTTCTATAAGATTTCAATTGGAAAAATAGAGGGTTCTAAGTGAAAAGACAGCCCACACAATGGGAGAAAACGTTTGCAAATCAAATATCCGATAAGGAACTTGTATCTAGAATATATAAAGTACTGTTACAACTTAATAATTTTTAAAAATCCAATTAAAAATGGGCAATGAATCTGAATAGACATTTCTCCAAAGAAGATATACAAATGACTAAGCACATGAAAAGATGCTCAGCATCATCAGTCATCAGGGAAATCCGAATCAAAACCACTGGAGACCACTTCACATCCACTAGGATAGCTAGAATCAAAAAGTCAGGTAAGAACAAGTATTGGTGAGAATGTGTAGAAATCAGGACCCTTATACATTGCTGGTGGGAACATAAAATGGTCCAGCCACTTTGGAAAACAGTCTAGCACTTCCTCCAACAATTAAATATAGAGTTACCGTATGACCCAGCAATCCCACTCCTAGGTATATGCCCAACAGAAATGAAAACATGTATTTGCTGTCTAATCCCAAACGAGAACTCCTTTCTAAAGAAATTTAACAACCTACCTGGGGGAGGACTAGGGCTTCTAACGTGGGTGTCAGCACTTCACAGTAAAGCCCACTGAATTTTACATTTGGGGGGCTTAAGTTTTCTTGCAAGCTCCTTGTGAACCCTAGGGTGAAGCTTAGCAAACAGCACATACTCTCTACCTACACAGAACTTATAGTCTTCTCATTCAGGGGAGTGGCCTGTTTGGGAAACAAAATAAACCAAAGAAAATGAAATCCATTCCTGTCACCTATAATGATCAAACTGTTCTTTTATTCACATTTTTTAAGTGGACTAGAAGGAAACCGGTAGTACAAAAGAGGAGGATGAGGATGAACAAGTAGAATAACTGACCCTGGAAGAAACATTATAATTCAGGGAAGAGAAAAGAAAGTTTCTATTACTATTCTCAGAGAGAAGAAGCAATTGCATACATAAAATAAGAATAGACTGCTAAAAAAAAAAGAAAAGCAAAGTAAAAAAGCCATCTAAGAGCAACAACAACAAAAATTATTGGAAAATAAAAATGAGATTGCTGAAATTAAAAAGCCAATAAAAGGGCTGAAATAAAATGTCAGTTCTCAAAAAGACAAGGAGATAGAAAGTATAAGAGAAATACTTTTTTCTTAATGGTGGACCAAATCAGGAGGCCCCAAATCCATCTACCAGAAGTATGAGAAAGAAAAAAATGAAGGGGACAACATTATCAAAGAAATAATAGAAAAATATTTCCTAGAATTGAAGAAGGATATGAGTTCCAGATTTATAACACTCACTAAGCATCATGAAATTTTAGAGCTCTAAGGTATCCAGAAGACCTTCAAAGTTTCCATAGGGATAAGAATAAGATATCGACAAAAAAATAAGAGATCGGCATCAGATTTTTCATCAGCACCTCTGGACCCTAGTAACCAGTGGGATGATACTTCTAAGGTTCCTAGTGAAAATTATTTTGATCTAGAAATCTATACCCAGGCAAACTACAAATCAAGTGAGAAAGCAAACTCGTTCCTGCCTTAGGACTTTTCACTTGCTGACAGTGTTTGCCCTACGTCTGTGCATGGTTTGCTCCTTTTCATCATTCAGTGCTACCTTTTCAGAGGAGCCTTCTCTGCCTATCTAAAGTAGCCATCCACCAAAGCCCTCTTTATTCTATTAACTTGTTGTCTTTTCTTTTCGGCACTTATCACTAGTTAAATTGTATGTGGTCGTTTCTTAACTTGTTCATTGTCCACCTCTGTCCATAGGATTGTAAACTCTCTAAGGGTAAGAACATTGTCTTTTTTCACCACTGTATCCCCATCCATAGAGCTATGCTTGACACATAATGGAAGCTCCATTATTATTTGTTGAGTGAGTGAATAAATGAATGAATATCTTAGCTGCAAGATTGTGAACCTCTAGGGTAGAAATAATGTCATATTCATCTCTATAACCCTGACAGTGCCTTGCACAAAGTAGTGCTCAGGAAATACCTGTTGAGTGAAGAAGCGTTCTTGAATTAGCTAGGTTCTTATTAGCTAGGTTCTTACCAGCTCAGCAGTTGTGTGTGTTTGTGTGTGGTATTTTTGCCAGGACATTGTCAATGTAGTCAGATGTAATAAACTCTTAGTTCTTGAAGTAAGCTGAAGCAGAAATCCTTCCTAATTTAAACACTTCATTTTTTTTTTTTTTTCTTCCATTTTTGGAAATGTTTCCTAGGGGTAAAATCTGCCAGACACAGGAAGTATGTTTAGCAAAGCTGCTTGTTGGTGAACCCACAGCTGAGCTGGGAGTTTGAGCCCTTTCCTCTCCCCAGTGACCAAAACTCAACAGTGGCAAGGCTTTCTGAACCCTGGTCTGTTAAGTAGGAGTGTATTTGCGAAGCAAACAAGCAGAGTGTTTGAAATTTGAACGATGCCAGAAATCCAGAATATAGTTGTGGGGGAAGACACAGTGTTAAGCATAAGTGTGAAAGGCCAAAGGACCAAGGAGTACTTTGCTTGTATAGCTGCCTGTGAGGCCTGGGAGCTTCATTGGGACAGCCAGTGGCCTTAGCTCTTAGTGATCTAAATCGAGTCTATTTCAGCCTTTACTAGAACCACTGTTTTCTAAATGGGAGACTGTCTGCTCTTCTTGAGTCTAACTTTGGCTCTGGTAATAAACAACCTCTAAAATTTATAGTAACCAAATTAATGATTTCTTGTTTCTTTTTTCCTATATAGAAAGGGAGCAAAGTGAAGCTTTAAAGTGGTTTACCAATAAACCACACCACAATAATAAGAAAGATAGAACATTCCCAAGGGCTTAGAAAGCCTCAGGATGGCAGGGAAAGCTCTAGGAATGAGAAAAGGGCAGAGTATGATACTCTGTCCCTGCAGGGCTCAGAGTAAGGGGAAGCCCTGCCTTCTGGGGTTTAGTCTGATAGAGGTGGTCTTGCTTTCTGGTAGCTCAGTATGAGCAGAAAGATCTGGTTCTGGGGGACTCATAGTCTGACAGTGGAAGCAGAGCACATCACTGAAAGCCACGGGCAATTTTCAGTTATCCAGGCAACAGGGAGTAAACAGGGGTTTTGAAGGTCATCCTGTGGTTTCCCGTACAGCTTTGGAGGGTATCAAATTATTTATTCTAATCATTTTAGCTTCACCATTTTTTCTCCACTGGAGCTTATGAAGTAGGGCCAGAGAAGTGGCAGGTAGAGGAATATGGTCTCAAGTTAAATATCGGCCGCATAGACTATGCAAAAAGGAAAACAAAGTCAGTAGAACTCATCATTGATACTTGATCCAAACCATGAGGCTAGCCCTGCTTTCACATGACTCATTGAAGAAAAGGATGGGGAAGTGGGAGTAAGATTGAGAAGGAAGGGTTGTATGGCCCAGAGAGATCCTCATCACAAAGAGTTAAACTACTCAGTGTGAATTGGGCTTGGGCTAGGAATAAAAGATTTTATTCTGTTCCATCTCAGTCCTGCTCTATTTTGTTCTTTCTTCCCTCACTTAACTCTCAAATTTTGATATTGAATAATATTATGGATTTATCATTAATTTTTTAAAGTGATAAAAATATTGTGGTTGTCGTTAAATAAGATTATTGTGTTTTAGAACTGTATTTAAACTGGAAATTTGCTTAAAAATGGTAGAGGGCAGAGGGAAGAGAGATTTAGATAAAATAAGATTGTCCATTAGTTTATAATTGTTGAAGCTGGGTAATGTGGACATGGGGGTCCACTGTGCTATTTATATACTTTTATATGTGTTTGAAATTTTTCATAATAAAATTTTTTTTAATTCACAGTTTCTGAGAAATGGTCCCAGTCAAACCTGTTCCTCCTGCATTTCTGCTCATCTTCAAAAACTTCCCCATCAGTGAAGCCCAAGCCCATTGCTGACTCATAGTGACCCTGTAGGATAGAGTAGAACTGCCCCTATAGGGTTTCCAAGGAGCGGCTGGTGGATTCAAACTACTGACATTTTGGCTAGCAGCCAAGCTGTTAACCACTGCGCCACCAGGGCTCCATCAATGAAGATTCAGGGCTTAGTGCCTGAGCCTATGACCTTCTACCTACTCATATACGAAGATGACACTTCCAGTTATCTTGTCTCCCCATCAACAGGGCAGGCAACTTGCATAATCTCTAGCAGTGGGGATGAGTTGCCTTGAGCTAACTGCACTTTGTAACCAAGGGCACAGGTTTTGTTTGTTTGGTTTTTTGGTGTGCGTGCTTTAAGTGGAAGTTTACAGTTCAAGTTAGTTTCTCATACAAAAATTTATACATACATTGTTATGTGACCCTAGTTGTTATCTCCGTAATGTGACACCACACTCCTCTTTTCCACCACTGATTTCCCGTTTCCATTCAACCAACTCCTATCCCTTTCTGCCTTCTCATCCCCCCTCTGGACAGGAGCTGCCCATTTAGTCTTGTGTATCTGCTTGAACTAAGAAGCATACTCTTCATAAGTATCATTTTATGTCTTATAATCCAGTCTAATCTTTGTCTGAAGAGTTTGCTTCGGGAATGGTTTTAGTTCTGGGTTAACAGAGAATCCGGGGCCATGCCTTCTGGGGTTCCTCTAGTCGCAGTCAGACCCATTAAGTGTGGTCTTTTTACTAGAATTTGAGTTCTGCACCCCACTTTTCTCCTGCTCCATTAGGGACTCTCTGTTGTGTTCCCTGCAGGGCCGTCATTGGTGGTAGCCAGGCGCCATCTAGTTCTTCTGGTCTCAGGCTGATGGAGTCTCTGGTTTATGTGGAGGGGCACAGGTTTAAAGACCATGGGGTAGAGTAGAGGTGGTTCACAATAATATCATGCATGTCTTCTCTAGAGGCATGTGGGAATGAATACACTGCTGGTGGGAATGTAAAATGGTACAACCATTTTTAAAACAGTTTGGCAGTTTCTTAAAAAGTTACACATAAATTTGCCATACAACCCAGTAATTCTGCTCCTAGATATCTACCCAAAGCAAATGAAAGCATATGCCCATGCAAAGACTTATATACAATGTAGCTTTATTTGTAATAGCCAAATACTGAAAACAACCTGGATATCCTATGAAAGGTAAATTAGTAAACAAATCATGGTATATTCGCACAGCATAATACTGCTCAGCAATAAAAAGGAATGAAATACGGATAGATGCAAAAACATGGATGAATCCTAAAATAATTATGCTGAGTGAAAGAAGCCAGACAAAAAAGAACATATACCATACAATCCCATTTAAATAAAATTCTAACAACTGCAAATTAATCTATAGTGACAGAAAACAGATTAGTAGTTACCTGGGAGCCAGGAGAAGGGAAATGTGGAAGGAGGAATTACAAAGGACAGTGACTTGAAGGGTACATAAGGGTGGGTTCTGGGGTACTGAAAATGTTCTGTTTCTTCATGTTAGTACTATTTCCATGGTGTGATTACTTTGGAAAAATTCATCAACTTATATATTTGTGATATTTTTTGTGGGTTATATGTACATTCAAAGTTAAAAAATTAAACATAGAGGGTATCAGATTAATCTGGAAGTCCTGTAGTATAGTTGTATTAGTCAAGGTAAGATGACTGATACAACAAACAACCTCAAAATCTCAGTGACAACACAAAGATTTATTTCTTGCTCATGTGACAATCCAGTGTTTTTAGGGGGAAAGGCATTTAATTAGTACTTAATATATTTTAGTTATTATTATCTCCTTTTCACATCCCTAAGATGGCTCCTGCTGGTCTTTCTTTACTGTCCTGTGTACTACTGCCTAGAGCCTGTAAACGATAGGGCTACCTTGGTCTTGAAGGACAGGGAAAAGCTTTGTTGAGAGATAAGGTTTAGATGAAATGTTAATTAATTTAATTCTATTTTTTATTTATAGATTTTCCTGTTTTTAGCCAGCATGTGTTTTGTCCTAGCAATTGGACATGGCATTTGGGAATATAAGAAAGGCTACTACTTCCAGACTTTTCTGCCATGGGAAGAATATGTCTCTTCATCATTTGTCTCTGCTATCCTCATATTCTGGTCCTACTTCATTATTCTCAACACTGTAGTACCCATTTCCCTCTACGTCAGGTAGGTTTCTTTGGTCACGTTGGGTTACGGGAAGAGGAACTGACTTTGTACTTCCTGTATTTCCCCAACTAGAGTGTGAACTTTTAGAAAGCATAGACTACATGCGTGCTTTTTAACCCTTCACCTTCTACAGTGCCTCTACATAGAATACTGCTGAGAAATATATAGAAACTGCGTAAATATTTTCCACGCCCAGAACACTGTGCTAAATGTTGTTGTTAGGTGCCATCAAGTCAGTTGTGACTCATAGCAACACTATATACAACAGAACAAAATACTGCCTGGTCCTGAGCCATCCTCACAGTCGTTGTTATGCTTGAGCCCATTGTTGTAACCACTGTGTCTGTCCATCTCCTAGGGTCTTCCTCTTTTTTGCTGACCCTCTACTTTACCAAGCATGATGTCCTTCTCCAGGGACTGGTCCCTCCTGATAACATGCCCAAAGTATGTGAGACAGAGTCTTGCCATCTTTGCTTCTAAGGAGCATTCTGGCTATACTTCTTCCAAGACACATTTGTTTGTTCTTCTGGCAATCCTTGGTATATTCAGTATTCTTCACCAACGTCATAAGTCAAAGGCAACAATTCTTCTTTGGTCTTCCTTATTCACTGTCCAGCCTTCACATGCGCATGAAAATACCATGGCTTGGGTTAGGCACACGTTAGTCCTCAAAGTGACATCTTTGCTTTTTAACACTTTAAGGTGGATTTACCCAATGTGTAATATGTCAGTTAATTTCTTGATTGCTGCTTCTGTGGGCATTGATTGTGGATCCAAGTGCTAGGTACAATGTGAGTTATACAGAAAGAAAATTGCCCTTGCCCTCAAATAACTTATAACGTAAGTGACTAAACAAGACATAGAAACACATGAAACAGTTTGGAAAAAAATGCACACAAATTTGGTGATTCTGAAGCACAGACCAGGCAGCTTCTAGTTTACCAGTGAGGTAGGTTCCAACATTCACTTGTATGTCAGTTCATCAGAACTCAGAATGCGTTTTCCCACATAAACAATGTGGCAAATGATGAGTAGGTATAATTGTGGTCTAAATTGTAATTCTTAAAAGTAGGAGAAGAGAAGACGATGGGTATTTCCTCCTCTTTTCATGAGCACTTTGGAAAAAAATTTGAACAGGTGAAATAAGTCTTTACCATACTCTCATCTCCTTTTTTTCTTGGTTCTGCATTCCCTTCCACATACACACACCCAAACACATTTTAGCATCCTTCTTTCCAGGTGTCCTAAACCCTGCACTGTGGCATCCTACCCGGAAAATCACCCTTCATAACTGAATTACCTTATTAATTTAATAAATATTTATTGAGCATCTGCTATGTGCCAAGCACTATACTAGGTACTAGGGGTAAAATCAAACCAAACCCATTGCTGTCGAGTCAATTCCAACTCATAGCGACCCTATAGGACAGAGTAGAACTATACCATGGGGTTTCCAAGGAGTGGCTGGTGGATTTGAACCGCCAACCTTTAGCTTAGCAGCCAAGCACTTAACTGCTGCATCATCAGGGCTCCAATGCTAAGGATAGAAATATGAATAACAAATAAGACACAGTCCTTTGTCTAGAGAAGCTCACAATGTAGCTATGGAAAGAGATATATAAACAAATAATTATGACACAATATAAAAAATGATGTAATAGAAATATACAAGTGAGTGCTATGGGAGCTTTGAGAAGGAATGAATTAGTTTTGCCTCGAGACGTTTAGGAAGGTTTACAGAAAAGGTAATAGTTAAACTGATATTTGAGGAAACAGTAGGATTCACCAAGCAGAAAAGAGGAAAAGAACATTACAAGCAGAAAGGTCAGTATGTACATATGTTGGAGATTTAATTTTTAAAAGTTTGGTTTGTTCATAGAATAATGAGTAGCTAGACTGTGGTGTTGGATGGTAATTCAGAACCAGATCCAGGAAAGTCTTAAATGCCGGGCAAAGGAGTTTGGATTGTATCCGAAAAGTGGTGAAGAGCCAGCAAAGATCTTTCTAATGAAAGAAATAATGTGATTAGATGTGTGAGTTTAGCGAGATTGCTATGGTGACTGGTATGGCAAACGATGGGCGGGATCAAGACTCCGAGCATGAGGACTAGTTAAGAGTAGATGAGGATGGTGTGAGTACCTCCTCCCTCACCTCAAACAAAAAATCCATGTCACTCAATGCAGCTCTCTCAGACAGGCATTACTAATAAAGCAATCTAAACTACTACACATTAAGTAGGAATAATGATAGGAAGGAGGCCCCTTTAAAGTCATCACTTTTTTAAAATGAAGATGTTTGTTAGCCATAAGGAATGGATAATGTATATTATTTGGTACAGAAGAGGAATGTGACAAAGGCAATTCAGATAAAGTGGAGAGCAGGCTGTTGGGGTAAGAGTCACACCACAGTAGGCTGGCTCTGCCCAGAAATTTATCAGAGGGTCAGCTCCCATAGCTGTTTCTGATTTTCACAGCTTCTTCCCTTCTTTTTTTTTTTTTTTTTTTAATTGTTGTCCTTTAAGTGAAAATTTACAATTCAGGTTAGTCTCTCATACAAAAATTTATACATACATTGTTATGTGACCCTAGTTGCTCTCTCTATACTGTAACAGCACACTCCTCCTTTCCACCCTGGATTTCCCATGGCCATTCAACCAGCTCCTGACTCTCTGTGCCTTTTCATCTCGCCTCTGGACAGGAGCTGCCCTCTTCCCTTCTTAAACAGAAAAGCTCTTAGTTTTTCAAGTTTTCCTCTCTTTCCCACCAATGGATTTACATGATGGCAACAATAATCCTTTAATCCAAGGCAGCCATTTATAAGTTAGATATTACTCCATCAGACCTTGCATTGCTGCAGAATTTCAAAAATTGTGACTTTCCCTAGACATGTTTAGGAAGAAGAAAGACTAAAAGAGAAGTATGCCTCAGAAAAGTTCATCAGGTATATCTGAGTCCAGGAGGTAAAGCTTTGAGTGATAACGATTAAAGTCAGAGTTATAATGGGTTGGCTGGTGGAGGGGTCCTTTAGATGGGTAGGTTCCTGATAAGGTAGATGCTCTGATTTTTAGATGCTGGCTCTGACCTACCATGGAACTGGTAAGAAGGAAGCCAGAATAATGTATTTGCTTGTCCTGCTCTAATCCAGGGCCCTTCTCTTCTTGCTTTCTCCTTAGTGTTGAGATAATAAGATTGGGCAACAGTTACTATATCAACTGGGATCGGGAGATGTTTTATGCACCACGGAATACACCAGCACAGGCTCGCATCACCACCCTTAATGAGGAACTCGGCCAGGTTGAATACGTGTTCTCCGACAAAACAGGGACCTTGACGCAGAATATCATGATTTTTAACAGATGTTCTATTAATGGGAAGTTCTATGGTATGCATACCCTGCTTTCTCTGAGTTCTGGGGAGATTGTACTTTATAGATTGTTTTCAAGAATGATCTAACGCTATGTTGTTGTTGTTAGGTGCCATCGAGTCAATTTTGACTTATAGCAACCCCATGTGACAGAGTAGAACTGCCACATAGGGTTTTCTAGGCTGTAATCTCCAAGGGAGCAGATCGCCAGGTCTTTCTCCCACAGAGCTGCTGTATGGGTGTGAACTGCCATCCTTTCAGTTAGCAGCCAGGCTCTTAACCATTGTACCACCAAGGCTCCTTTCTAAATCTATAAGCCTCTGAAATTCACATTTACCTCCTATTCTCACAACTATCCCTATTCACTATGCAAAGAACACCCAGCACATTCAGTTCTAACCAAAAAGCATTTATTTAGCATGTTATAGATGCAATCCATTGTGTTGGGCATTGGGAATACCAAGATGTACAAGACTTAGTCTCTGTCGCTAATGTCTTGAGGAAAAATTATATTAAATCAGATGGAACAGTCAGTATGACTGAAACTGAAATCTCCTGATCCCCCCTCAGCCCATTAGTCTTGAGAGAAGCCATCAAAGGGTGGACTTTGATCAGTGTCTCCCAGGCCCAATCCCTCACGTATTTTATACCTTAAACATATGCTCATTTTCGTGATAGTGTTAAGTCCTATGTGTGTGAACATTCATTGCCCAGTGTCCTAGCATAGGAAGGTATTCACATGTAAAAAGCTAGAGCACACAGAGTGTTCTTTTGGGGTGATGAAAAAGTTTTGAAACTAAAAAGAGGTGGTGGTTGCTCAACATTGTGAATACACTAAATGCCACTGAATTTGTACACTTTAAAATGAATGGTTAATTGTATGTTACGTGAATTTCACCTCAGTTTAAAAAAAGAAAGCTAAAGCATTCTATTTCCTGTAACTCCTGCCAAACAATTTTTCATAAGTATAAACTCCGAAGGCTTATTTTTGGATGAGTTGATTTGGGTGAAGATCTTAATTCTCTGACTCATCATGTAGACCTAACTATGCATTGGGTAAGGTTGAAAAGGGTCATGGGTGTTTCTGGCCTTGGCGTTAGACTGTTTTCCATCCCATTCAGTCTGTACTACCATTGGCCAGGAATCATAAACACTCTGGTGCTATTTTCACATCTCCTCTACGTGCTTTTTCTGTCTGGAGGCTTTTTGAGGTATGAAATCTCTCATAGACCCAGTGACTCATCTCCAGCCTCCCCTCACTCTTACCTAAGAAAGAAGAGCTGGGGCCCAGCAGATGATCTCTTCTTACCATTGGCTTGGGGAAAGGAGCTTATTGAGGCACTGATAGGTGGCCTGAGGTAATTCAGGATAGCTTGACTGCAAGTTTAGGATGAAAGAATCAGAAGAAATGAGCTTTTAAAAACCCTTCTTCAAACTCCTTGCCAAGTCTATACTCTGTTTACTTATCAACAGGTACTGTCTATGACGAGAATGGAGAGACGGTGAAAATCTCTGAGGTGAGTGGTTACAGCTCCCTTTGAAGTGCATGTGGGAGCTGAGTGCAGCTGTGCTGCACAGCATCATCTTTAACACAGATTGGGACTCCCTTAGTACCTGAAGTATTAAAGCTCTTGTTGTTAGCTGCCATCGAGTTGGCTTATATATAATAGAACTCATGGTGACCTTATGTATAACAGAATGATACGTTGCCTGGTCCTGTGCCATCTTCACGATCATTGGTATGTTTGAGTCAATTGAACCCCATAATATTAGAAGGATTATATTAATGACCTATGTTTATTTGAGGGGTTTTGGTTTGTTTTATAAAATAAAAATAGCTTTATTGGCTTTTTTCTGTTTAAAAAATAATCCATGCTAAATGCAGAACAGAATTTCATATTCTCATGGGATACAGACTTTCTGGAGCCATGGAAGCTGGATGAACCCTTGAAACTATTGCCCTGAGATAACCTTTAAACCTTAAACCAAAAATATCCCCTGAAGTCTTCTTAAAAACAAACAATAGTTTAACTTAAAGATTAGACAGGCCCATAAAACAAAACAAGACTAATCGGGCGCAATAGCCCGGGACAAGGACTAGAAGGCAGGAAGGGAAGGAAAGCTGGTAAGAGGGAACCCAAGGTTGAGAAGAAGGGACAGTGTTGACATGTCATGGGGTTGTTAACCAATGTCATAAAACAATATGTCTACTGTTTAATGAGAAACTATTAGTTCTGTAAACCTTCATCTAAAGTACAATAAAAAAAATTAAACAGTTTAACTTAACTAGTAAAGAATGTTTGCCTTGAGCATTGTGCTCTTTTAAGATTTATCTATATAGGATCAAATTGACAACTTCAACTCAGAAGATTAGATTGGAAATTTGGGGGCAGTGAGTTTATGTTAATGGAGGAGGAACAACTCAGAAAAGGAGGGTGAGAATGGTTGCACAACTCCAAGAATGTAATCAATGTCACTAAATTGTACATGTAGAAATTGTTGAATTGGTGTATTTCTGCTGTGTACATTCTCAACAACAACAAAAATAAGATAAATTATTAAAAAAATAGTAATCCCTGCTTATTGTAAAAAAATTCCAACAATACAGAAATGTATGAAGAAGAAAGTTCAAATCATTCAATTCTTCATGTAGATAAGCAGTGTAAAATTTGGGGTGTATATCCTTTCAGATGTTTTTCATATGTATACATACATATATATATACACATCTAGATCTAGTTATATTAGGTAGCTAGGTGGATAGATGGATAGATGGATTGATGGGTAGGATCATTGTATGCATGCTATTTTCAGCCTCCTTTTGTGAACTTGACATATATTGTGCTCATCTTTCTGTGTCAGTAAACTAGGTCTACATCATCATTTTGAATGAGTGTATAGTATCCAGTTGTGTTAATGTACTTAATTTATGTAATCAATTCCCTATTTTTATTGTAATTTTTGCTGTTATAAATGGCATTATGGTAAGCATCCTGGTACATACATTTTTGTCTACTTTTCTAATAATTATTTCCTTAAGATAAACTCCTAGAAGTAAAATTTCTTGGTCAAATGGTAGGCACATATTTAATGCATTTAATATTGCCATATTGCCCTCCCGGTAGATAGCAGCAGTTTAAAATCCCACCAAAAGTATATGAGAATTCCCTTTTTTTTTTTTTTCTTCCATATCCTTGTCAATACTGAGTATTAGCAATTTTTAATCTTTGGAAACTTAATTAGTGAAAAATTATTATCTTATTATTTAATTTACCTTTCTTTGATTACTAATTAGGTTGAATCATTTTTCATGTATTTATTTCCCATTTACACTTATTTTGTGAATTGCCTGTTCACATTCTTTGCCTTCTGTTCTTACTTGAAAGTTCTTTGTATGCAATAAAAATAACAACTCTTCCTTTGTGTGGAACATCTGTTACAATTATTCTTCTGATTTTGTCTTTTGGTTTTTAATCTGGCTTATGATTTTTTTCTGTGTTGTTGTTAGGCACCATCAAGTCGGTTCTGACTCATAGCAACCCCATGTATAACAGAACGAAACACTGCCTGTTCCTGCACCATCCTCAGTCGGTCCTGCACCATCCTCACAGTCGTTGTTATGTTTGAGCCCATTGTTGCAGCCACTGTGTCAGTCCATCTCGTTGAGACATAGTCTCACCATCCTTGTCTCTAAGGAGCATTCTGGCTGTACTGCTTCCAAGACAGATTTGTTCGCTCTTAAGGCAGTCCATGGTATAGTCGGTATTCTTCACAAACACCATAATTCAAATGCGTCAGTTCTTCTTCGGTCTTCTTTATTCATTGTCCAACTTTCACACGCATATGAGGCAACTGAAACACTATGGCTTGGGTCAGGCACACCTTAGTCTTCAAGGTGACGTCTTTGCGTTTCAACACTTTAAAGAGGTGTTTGCGGTAGATTTCCCCAGTGCAATGCATCTTTTGATTCCTTGACTGCTGCTTCCATGGGTGTTAATTGTGGATCCAAGTAAAATGAAATCCTTGACAACTTCAGTCTTTTCTCCATTATCATGATGTTGCTTATTGGTCCAGTTGTGAGGATTTTTGTTTTCTTTATACTGAGGTGTAATCCATATTGAAGGCTGTGGTCTTTGATCTTCATCAGTAAGTGTTCATGTCCTCTTCACTTTCAGCAAGCAAGGTTGTGTCATCTGCATAACGCAGGTTGTTAATGCATCTTCCTCCAATCTTGGTGCCCCATTCTTCTTCACAGAGTCCAGCTTCTCAGATTATTTGTTCAGCATACAGATTGAATAGGTATGGTGAAAAGATACAACCCTGAAGCACACTTTTGCTGACTTTAAACCATTCAGTATCCCCTTGTTCTGTTCAAATGACTGCCTCTTGATCTGTGTACAGGTTCCTCATGAGCACAATTAAGTGTTCTGGAATTCCCATTCTTCGCAATGTTATCCATAATTTGTTACGATCCCACACAGTCAAATGCCTTTGCATAGTCAGTAAAACACAGGTAAACATCTTTCTGGTATTCTCTGCTTTCAGCCAGGATCCATCTGACATCAGTAATGATATCCCTGGTTCCACGTCCTCTTCTGAATCTGGCTTGAATTTCTGGCAGTTCCCTGTTGATATACTGCTGCAGCCGCTTTTGAATGATCTTCAGCAAAATTTTACTTGTATGTAATATTAATGATATTGTTGATAATTTCCGCATTCAGTTGGATCAGTTGGAAAGGTGATCCAACTGATTGTGGAAATTTTTCTGTGTGGAAGTTTTTAATTTATGTAATCAAATCTGTCAGTTTTTTCCTTCATAGCCTCAGGATTTGTGACATACTCAACAGTCCTTACCCACCCTATAATTATAAAAATATCTTTCTATATGTTCTTCCTATGTCTAGCTGGTTCGTCTTTACTGTCTTCTCTAGTACTGGCCCTCAGCTTTTGTTTATTGATTTGACTTTAAGCATTCTTTCATAGAGCATTATTCATTGCCCTTAGGGTACTCTGCATCCTTACCCTCATCCTATCCCACTAGACCCAATTCCCAGCCTTTAGCCACTTGACTTATGTGCCAGACCACCAACTCTAGCTCCCACTCACCACCTTTCCCCCATCTACCCAAAGAGATTGGAAGGGGGAAAGAAAATCAGTGTTTTGCCTTAAATCCTCTTCCAGGGGCTCTGCTAATGACCTTGGAAATATAAAGTTATAGCTTCTTCTTTATGCCTAGGGAGTAAATTGTTACCCTGGAGTTTCCCTTCCTCTTCTTTCCAATACTGATTGAGACCATAACACGTTTTCCACTGGATCACTGGAATTTTTATTCTCTTGTAAACAAACTTACTACAGCCTCAATCCCTACATAAAAATGCTTTCTTCTCCTCTCTGACTTAATTGAAATGTGACTCTCCCTGAGAAGATTCCTTTCCTGCCACCTCTCTCATACTCTGCATACCATAAGCCCAAACGTATTTCCTCGTTATCCTGTGCCAATATGCCATTACTTTTTTTCCCTCAAACAGTCTTTCTTCCTGTAATGCATATGACTTCTGACTATACTCCTCTTTAACCGTTCCTGTTGTTGCCATCTATGAATCATCTGGCTTCTCCACCTCATTCACTGAGGACTTTGAAACTGAGCACATATTCTCTCTCTCCATCCAACCCCTGCTATCATCTTGGTTGGTATTGTCATCTTTGTAGATGATCTATCATCTTAGACTCTAAGGTTCATGAAAATGACTTCCTATAATCTAAAAGTCTATAGTACCCATTTCCATGTCACCCTGTCATCATCCAGAATTTACTACTCTAAAATTGTAAACTCCCTTGTCATAATCACTGATCACAAATATTAGCCCTCCACCTCTCTCACTACTTGAGTGCTAGGATGCCTGCTTTCTTATCTCATCAAGATTTACAAACTCTCAGCTCTCCTTTTTCTACGGCCTATCAATCCCTCTTGGCTTCACTTCCTTTCCTCCCTAGCCTATAACCTAGGATCACAAGCATCCTCAATACCTTAGCTAGTCCTCCTTTTTCTCTCTCTAATAACCCAACAAATCTCAATCTTGAATTAACCAAACCATCTACAATTCTCTGTTTTCTAATCTCAGAGTTCCGAGCACTATTTTGGGGATCACAAAACCATTACAAATTTAGAGACTGTATCCTTTGCTGGGCCCCCAGTGCCACTTGGCACATTTCTTATGTGCCTTTGATCTTTATCCTTTATTGCCTATATCAGCTATTCCAAACATTAACCATTCTCAGGCCCTCTGCCACATTCCTCTCTCCCCAGCATACAGGAGATGATGTTGTGTTCTACTTTACTGAGAAAAATCCAGCTGTCAGCTAATATCCCCCTCTATACATATGTCATTCCTCAATGATTCAGTTACCACACTTGGTTGCTAACCAAAAGGTTGGAGGTTCAAGTCCACCCAGAGGTGTCTAAGAAGAAAGGCCTGGCGATCTACTTCTGAAAAATCAGCCATAAGAAACCCTATGGGGCTCAATTCTACTGTGACAGACATGGGGTCGCCGTGAGTTAGAATCAACTCAACAGCAACTGGTTTTGTTTTTTCAGTATACATGTATCAGAACCCACCTTTACCTCCTTTCCTTCAGATTCAAAAAAGTTATCACTTTTTCTTTCAAATCAATATATTGAATTTATATATTCCAAATTCCATCCTTTCCTGCTTCCTCAGGAACTTCAGTCAATCCTGTATTCTCTCTTTCTTATATATCTAAAATTTATTCCATATATGATTCTTTCCTCTCAGCTCAACTCTTTTCTTTAAGAAACACTTGGAATTTTCCTTGATCCTATATTTTCTTCTAGCCATTATTTGTCTCCATCAGTAAATTCAAAATATTTATTCTGTGTCTGCCATATGCAAGGCTCTGAGTAAGTGCTAAAGGTTCAGGGAAAAAAAACAGACTTGGTTCCTACTTTCAAGAGTTGGAAGACTAGAAGAGAATCCATGTAGGTAAACCAGAAATTACAGCAGTCTCTAATTTCTCACTTTTCACTCATTCTTCAATCTATTCTATGTACTCAGACTGTCCTATCATGGCCACTGAAACTATCCTAGTCAAGGTTATTAATGACTACCTTGTTAAGCCCTTGCATAGCTTCTCTGCAGATTTTGACACTCTTAAACCCTTTTTTTCTTAAAGTTTTCTTGTCCCTTGGTTTCTGTTAAATAACTAACTCTCTTCTTATTTTTTTTCTTCCTGTTTGATTGCTTTTTCTCATCTTTTTGCCATAGGTGCTGATGTTCCTCAGGGCTCTATCATTGTACCTCTTCTCTATCTATATAGTCTCCCTGGATTACCTCATGTATTCATATGGCTTTAACTGCCACTTACTGATGACTTCCAAATCCATATATCCAGAGAACCCTTGATAGCTCCCTCCCCTTCCATGGCCAAGGGTAAAGACATTCTATAAAAACTGCCTATAAGTATGACACAGCATCTCAAAGAGTTTCCTTAGTTGCCACCTTCTACCCTCCATTCTGAATCCACTTCTTGTCATCTGATATCCCCAGTTTCCATCCTTTTGTCTAGTACCTGGATTTTGCCTTTCAGCCTCAACTGGTTATTTGGCTTTCAATTTCAGAGTTATCTCTGTCAGATCATACTGTACTGTAGCTCCAATCCAACCCTGCCTCAGTCCTATACCCAGCCAGGTTCAGTGTTGTTGAACATTAGTTATCTGGAAGGGGCAATCAGAAACTAGCTCAGCTCTCTTTGCTGAGCTTCCAAACTCTTGTCTGTCAGAAACCTCTTCTTCCTTCTTGGTCTCACCATCTACCCAGGGGCCTTACTAGGAAATATAAAATTATTCTTAGCTCTTTTCCTCTTTCACTCTTTATAGCTACATCCTAGCAATTCTAGTTCCTTAATTTTCTAAATCTATCCCATTAATTCAGTATTTATTGCCACTGCTGAATCGGTTCTCTTGTGGCTCACTGCAGTCCCCTCTTAACTGGTCTCCTTGCTTCTTGTCATGCTAGTTCCAACATATTCTCTGTGCTGCTACCAGAGAACTTTCTCTGAAATATAAATTTAATTGTATCACTTCCAGGTGAAAATCTCTGTGATTCTCTGTTGCATATAAGATGGTAATTCAGGATCTGGCTCATGCCTACCTCTTCAACCTTATCTCTCATCACTCACCAGCCCCTGGTTTCAGAGAATGTACCAGTACAAGAGCTCAATTCTAGAAATGCCTCAGGGGAAAATACACAATGAGTTATCTTAAGTTACTGACCCTACAAACTTGTCAGAGCTCACAAATCTGTGGTTGGCCAGGTTCAGGGCTTGGCTCTAGACCTGAGTGTACTTCTTCCCTGCTACCGTAAGACTCCTCTAGACAGAATGTAGAAAAGAACCAGTATAGCTCATTACAAACTTCTCTTTCCCCAGCATAGCACCAAACAGCACAATTATATCTGTACTTCACGTATTGGGGCCCAGCCCAGGTAGCACCTATAACTATAGAAAGCTGTAGAAAGATCTTTGAGTGTTCTGGTTTGGGTGTGAAAATTGTTAACAACATCATACTCCAGGATGAGGATAAGAAAGTACCATGGCCAAATTGGGCCAGAAAAAAGTATTTACCCAAGGTGGCTGTAAGCAGCCTAGATGAACTGTAGAATAAAAGTCAATGTCTAAAGGAGCCAAGGTCACGGATAGGAAAAACAGTTATGCGTATTAGGTCCTAAGACTTAATTTGATTAGATTGAGGTAGGGTCTAAAATAAGAACACAAGCAGCAAGGTCACTAACCATGAGGCTTAGCAGCAAGAGGGAATTAGGTATGCTGACAGGTCAAATATAATGTTTCAAAATTAAGTCTTTGAACAGCAAATATGTGCTGAAACTGCCTCTGTCTTACAAAATTCCTCTCCAGCCCCCTATTCATCCTTGTGGGACTAGAGAGGAATATTTTAACATAGTGATATCACTGTACCTAGGATTCTGTTTCCTTTTCAGCTCCCAAAATCAGACAGAGGGCAGCCAGAGGCAAGACTATTTCCAGAACTTACTTACTAATATGGAGTAGTTACCTCCTCATATCCTTCCAGGTTTTATTCTCATGGATTTGGGACTTGGAAGAGTAGAACCTAAAGATGCCATTCAGGATGGCAAGGGTACAAAGGGATCAATAAGGGTCTGCAAAGCAGTGCTCAGCTTGTCTCCTGTGGGATGGATCTTTTCTGGCCGAAGTGAGGAGATGGTTCAGGTCAGAGCTACAAAGGCCTTGGAAACCAGCAGACTCTCTTCCATTTGTCTTGCTTTTCTCTTCTCACCTTCCTTGAGAGTTGCTATCATATTCTGGAAATTGCTCCCAAATTGGCCTTCTGTTAAATGTCAGGCTGCTGCTTAGAAGTTTATCCTGGCTTTTGTGTTCCAGAAAACAGAAAAAGTCGACTTCTCCTACAACAAACTGGCTGATCCTAAGTTTTCATTTTATGACAAGACTTTGGTGGAAGCAGTGAAAAAGGGAGATCACTGGGTGCACTTGTTTTTCCTGTCACTCTCCTTGTGCCATACCGTGATGTCAGAGGAGAGAGTGGAAGGTGAGGAGGACCTGAGGCCTCATGACTGAGAATATGTCATAGAGTCTAGGCTGGTTGGAGGTGGGGGTGGTTTGATATGATTTGTAATGGTTTAATCTAAGAAAAAACTTTCTAATAGGGAGCATTGTCCAGCAATGGAATAGATGGTTAAGATAAGGACTGAGCTCCCAGTCATTGGAGATATTCAAGTAGAAAACAACCTCATGGTTTTAAAGGTGATTCAGTCATTGAATAGGGGTCAAATTTGATCTATCTAAAGAGCTTGTTATCTTGAGATTCTGTGATGTTCTGACACAGAGTCCATCTGAATTGTCCCCAAGATCAGCCCCACTATCTCTGACAAGCCTTCCTGAAGGATGAGTTGAGTTGTCCTCTTGTTGCTTCACAATTTAAAGATATACCCACATATCCATATTTCTTTAGTAACCAAATATGGCTACTTCACCCATGAATTTACCCAAGCCTTTTTAGAAAGAATGAATGAGAAGTGACTGACTATAAACTTAAGACTTTTTTTTTAAACAAGCAAGAATTTAGGCAACCAAATGAATCTTATCGTTTAGAGTCAATATACTCTTATTACTACCAGTAGCAACACCTCATATTTGTATATCACTTTACAGTTTTACAAATTGATTTTATTTATATTATTTCCCACAGTCTCCGTAACAGCCCTCTAAAGTAGGCAGAACAAGCAAAATGATCCCAGTTTTATAGAGAAGGAACCAAAACCAAACCAAACCCGCTGCTGTTGAGTCGATTCCGATTCATAGCAACCCTTATAGGACAGAGTAGAACTGTCCCATAGGGTTTCCAAGGAGCAGCCGATGGATCCGAACTGCCGACCTTTTTCGGTTAGCAGCAGGATGCTTAACCACTGAGCCACCAGGGCTCCTACAGAAGGAAACTGAAGCTAAAAGAAACTGTGACTTGCCTAAAATCCTATAGCTAAGAAGGGCAGAAATGAGATAAGAAGTCAAATTTTGCATCTCCTGATCCTATGATCTCCTACCCCACCACATGCCTCTCTGAGCCTGCCATTCCAACAGTGCTATTACTTGAAGTATGTTTGGCCTCATCTTTGTTTACTACTTTTAGTCACAGGGATGGCAATTGACAAGAAAACTGTCTCATTGTCTGGTAAACACATCTTATGTCTGACCTAAAATTATACTCCTTACACCTTATTCACAAGAGTAAGACTCTAATAATGCTTAGCTATTTTAAAAATCAAACTGACCTGAAGAAGGGAAATATTCCAAAGTACACCTCAGCTTGTGATGACGTTCCAAAAGAGGAGTTCTAGAAATGTCTTGAATAATATCTGACTAAAAGGCTGATTCAACAGAGTGAGTTATTTAGCTCCCCAGAGTGAGTTTCAAAGGTGACAACAGTCATTCATATGTGTGTATATATATATATTATTACTGTGCTTTAAGTGAAAGTTTACAGTTCAAGTTAGTTTCTCATACAAAAATTTATACACACATTGTTATATGACCCTAGTTGCTTTCCCTGTAATGTGATAGCACACTCCTTCTTTCCACCTGGATTTCCTGTGTCCCTTCAACCAGCTCCTGTCCGTTTTTGCCTTCTCATCTCGCCTCTGGACAGGAGCTGCCCATTTAGTCTCATGTATCTACTTGAGCTAAGAAGCACACTCTTCCGAGTATCATTTTATGTCTTATAGTCCAGTCTAATCTTTGTCTGAAGAGTTGCTTTGGGAATGGTTTTGGTTTGGGGCTAACAGAGAGTCCAGGGGCCATGTCTTCCAGGGTCCCTCCAGTATCAGTCAGACCATTAAGTCTGGTCTTTTTACTAGAATTTGATTTCTGCACCCCACTTTTCTCCTGCTCCATCAAGGACTCTCTGTTGTATTCCCTGTCAGGGTGGACACTGGTGGTAGTCATATATATGTTTTTAATTGTGTACTAAACTATCAGTCTCATTATCTATAGCAATGTTTATCAAAGTGTGGCCTGTCCTATGCAGGAACACCTTATACAGCACCATCTGCATGAGAATAACTGTGGAGACTTGTTAAAAATTCAATTTCCTGGGGCCTCCTTCCAAATTTTGTGATCCTGATTTCAATAAGTATGAGTGGGGCCCGGGAACTTTCATTTTTAACAAGCTCCCTAAGCCATCTTTACCCACTAAAGTTTGAGAGTAACTGTTTTATTTCTTTATATACACTGCATGTACCACGTACCTCTGTAATGGTAAGTCAGGTCTATGAAATGGGTTGAAAGTATTGGAAAGAAAAGAGACTGAGATATTCTATGCAACCTGGCCTTTTGGAGTCAGACTTATGAGGAAGTTTTGAAGAAAGATGTCCCCTCCTGGGCTCCATCTTTATGGAAGCCACTTGGAAGACAAGGTCACTTCTGGGTGGACTTCAGCTGTTTGCTCTCGCTGCCCTCTTCTCTCCTGTCAGGTGAGCTGGTGTACCAGGCTCAGTCCCCAGATGAAGGTGCCCTGGTCACTGCTGCCAGGAACTTTGGCTTTGTGTTCCGTTCCCGTACGTCTGAGACAATCATGATGGTTGAAATGGGGAAAACCAAAGTCTACGAACTGCTCGCTATTTTGGACTTCAACAATGTGCGCAAGCGGATGTCTGTTATTGGTGGGTGTCAATCCTAGTCATCTCTCTCCCCTTCTTTCTCCTTCATGCACATTCAGGTGTTAACTTTTTTTATCTACACAAATAAACTTTCTTCCACCCACGTGCCTCCTCACAGGTACTGTGCCTCAAATACAAACACACAGCCGTTCCCACTTTCTCTTCCAGATATGCTTTATGTTTTCTCTTATACATATATGGGGGCTTGCTACCATATGAGAGGGAGCTTCTTTAGTGTTTCTGGTAGTGGTTTGTCAGCACTCAAAGCCAGGATAAAGACAGAATATGGAATGAGAGAATATGGACTGAACATGAGATGGGAGAGGGGTTGGGGGCAGCTGAAATTCATGCTGTCTTGCTCTCGATTAGTTTGCACCTCAGACTGAAGAGAAAGCAGGTAATTCTTTATCACTGGTCCTTAGTTAGGTGTAGGCCTTGGTCTGGGACTCGGAATCGAGAAACTAAACATGATTCTGCATCAGAGTCTTTCACAGGTGATTTTGAACCCATGGAAGAACTGGTTATCCCTCACTCTCATCAGCCCTCACCACATCACTTGCCCTGTTTGACCACTCATTGAGTGCTTAGCTCCCAAAGTAGAAGAAACTAATGCCATGGGGAACAGCCTCCTACCATTCCTCCTAGGCCCAGGTAAGTTCTTGTAACAGTAGACCTATATAGTTACTTTGCTTAATTTGCTTATCCTCAGTGCGGACACCTGAAAATCGGGTAATGTTGTTCTGCAAGGGTGCCGACACCATCCTCTGTCAACTGCTTCATCCATCTTGTAGAACCCTCAGAGATATCACCATGGAACATTTAGATGTGAGTGGTTTTTGTTTTTTTTTTAACATATATATATAGTTGTGCTTTAAGTGAAAATTTACAATTCAAGTAAGTCTCTCATACAAAAATTTATACACACATTGTTTTGTGACCCTAGTTGCTCTCCCTATACTGTGACAGCACACTTCTTCTCACTACTCCTTTCCACCCTGGATTTCCCGTGTCCATTGAACCAGCTCCTGACCCTCTCTGCCTTCTCATCTCACCTCTGGACAGTAGGTGCCTATTTAGTCTCATGTATCTGCTTGAGCTAAGAAGCACACTCTTCACAAGTATCATTTTATGTCCCATAGTCCAGTCTCATCTTTGTCTGAAGAGTTGGCCTTGGGAATGGTTTTAGTTTTGGGCTAACAGAGAGTCTGGGGGCCATGTCTTCTGGGGTTCTCTAGTCTCAGTCAAACCATTAAGTCTGGTCTTTTTACCTGAATTTGAGTTCTGCACCGCACTTTTCTCCTGCTCCATCAGGGACTCTCTGTTGTGTTCCCTGTCAGGGTGGTCATTGGTGGTAGCCAGGCACCAT